TAGAGTCCACATTAGCCCTTGCAATATTTCTGACATAAAGTGATTTCCTCGATCAGAGTCGGTATTTTCAACAATTCCATACCTGGTAGTTATTTGTTCTAGAATTATTTTAGTTACCATGTTCGCAGCAGCAGATACTGAAGGGAAAGCTTCCACCCACCCTGACAAATGATCTACTGAGACTAATAAGCATTTAAATCTACCTACTCTAAGGAGTTCTGTAAAATCTACCTGTACATTTTGGAAGCGTTGAATTCCTGGTTCTCGCCCCCTTTGGGCTGACTGTGGATAATTTTCCTATTTACCTTTTGACATACTACACAACTCCTGCGTACTCGTTCAGCCAGAGCATATATATATATATTCCTACACATACATATTTCCTTAGCACAGCGTCACACATTGCTTGAATTCCCCAATGACCCTCTTGATGCAAAACAGTTAATATTTGCCTCGTTAGCACTTTCTTCAGCATTTCTCTCCCTTCAGGGAGTATCTATTTTCCTTTGGAGTTTGTGACTCCTAATTCCTTAAAAACCTCTTTCTCTTAAAACTTTTTAGTTCTTTTTAGTTTTGGGTAGGGGTAGCTCAACAATTCCCTGCATCCCCTCTGGATTTATTCTTCATTCCCCCTCAGACACTAGATGCCCTAAATACTTGACTACTCTTTCTACAAATTTAATTTTAATTTCCAATATTTTCAATCCCTGTTTTCCCAGAAAGCTGAATAGCTTGTTAGTGGCTTCCTTCACAGCTGTTTTCTCCTGTCCTGACAATAAAAGATCATCCACATATTGTAACAGTAACACCTCCTGTAACTTGATTATCTCCAACCCAACCAACACATCCTGTTGAGCAGACAATTGTGATAACTACCTGCTGCAAGATAACAATTGCAGTAACTGAAATGCCCAAATAAGGAAAGGACGACCAATCTGCAACGCAGAGGAAGACTATGACCTTCATCCCCGTGACCACCAGAGAGCCCGTGACGACCCCCTAGCAACTGGTTGCGCAACCACAGAAGAAAACAGGATGTGCCACTCAACCCGGGACCACTAGACAATAAAAGGGGACCCTGGCAGGGGTAAGGTGTGCGTCTTGGTGGAGCAGAGACTCCCGGCGCACCCAGCGCTGTTTGCTTACCTCTATTCCTTTAATAAATTGTAAACTTTGATTGTAACCCTATTTGGGACTCAGTCATTTATAACAATATGAAGGAGTTCGATCTGCTTCGGAGGTGGTCGGTACTGAAGCGCAGCTCCTCCTAGCACCCCGACTGCCGGTACTAGGCTGGATGTTCAAGGGAAGGGTCTCTTCTACGCATCATGCAACTGATGCTACCTGGAGCAAGTGGGTTGCACTGATTACTCAGCGGGCTCGAATAGGAAGCCCCAGTCGCCCAGGAATCTTGGAGGTGATTATGGACTGGCCAGAAGGCAAATACTTTGGGATATCATCAGAGGAGGAGGTGGGTCATGCTGAAGAAGCCCCACTGTACAACCAGTTACCAGAGAATGAGAAGAAATATGCCCTGTTCACTGATGGGTCCTGTCGTATTGTGGGGAAGCATCGGAGATGGAAGGCTGCTGTATGGAGTCCTACACGACGAGTTGCAGAAGCTGCTGAGGGAGAAGGTGACTCGAGTCAGTTTGCAGAAGTGAAAGGCCATTCAGCTGGCTTTAGACATTGCTGAACGAGAAAAATGGCCAGTTCTCTATCTCTACACCGATTCATGGATGGTAGCAAATGCCCTGTGGGGATGGTTACAGCAATGGAAGCAAAACAATTGGCAGCGCAGGGGCAAACCCATCTGGGCTGCTGCATTGTGGCAAGATATTGCTGCTCGGGTAAAGAACCTCGTTGTAAAGGTACACCATGTAGATGCTCATGTGCCCAAGAACTGGGCTACTGAAGAACATCAGAACAACCAGCAGGTGGATCAGGCTGCTAAGACTGAAGTAGCTCAGGTGGACCTGGATTGGCAGCATAAAGGTGAATTATTTATAGCCCGATGGGCCCATGACACCTCAGGCCATCAAGGTAGAGATGCGACATACAGATGGGCTCGTGATCGAGGGGTGGACCTGACCATGGATGTCGGATAACCCGACCGAAAGCCCTGGGACAAACGGACACAACGACCAGCGTTCTGTGCCGTAAGCCAATTTATTACTGCGTGACAGTATCTTATATAGTGTCAAAGCGTCCCACCCAGGAACCCAGGACCCCTCCCACTGTGCTCGCAGGCACCCCAGACCCTTCCCCTCGTGCACGCAGGCACGACCCAGAATAACCCCACAATTGACACTATAGCACAGGTTATTCATGACTGTGAAACATGTGCTGCAATCAAGCAAGCCAAACGGTCAAAGCCTCTTTGGTATGGAGGACGATGGCTGAAATATAAATATGGGGAGGCCTGGCAGATTGATTACATCACACTCCCTCAAACTCGCAACGGCAAGCGCCACGTACTTACAATGGTGGAAGCAACCACCGGATGGCTGGAAACATATCCTGTGCCTCATGCCACCTGCCCGGAACACTATCCTGGGCCTTGAAAAGCAAGTCCTATGGCGACATGGCACCCCAGAAAGAATAGAGTCAGACAATGGGACTCACTTCCGAAACAACCTTATAGACACTTGGGCCAAAGAGCATGGTATTGAGTGGGTGTATCACATCCCCTATCATGCACCAGCCTCCGGGAACACTGAACGATGCAATGGGTGCTGGGACATTCAAAAATTGGGATACGCATTTGGCAAAGGCCACCTGGTTAGTCAATACTAGGGGATCTACCAACCGAGCTGGACCTGCCCAATCAAGCCTGTTACGTACTGTAGAAGGGGATAAATTTCCTGTAGTGCACGTAAGAAATATGCTGGGTAAAAGAGTCTGGGCTACTCCTGCCTCAGGAAAAGGCAAACCCATTTGTGGAATTGCTTTTGCTCAGGGACCTGGATGCACTTGGTGGGTAATGCAAAAGAACGGAGAGGTCCGGTGTGTACCTCAAGGGGATTTAATACTGGGTGAGACTAGCCCATGAATTGAATTGTATCATGTTAATTACTATATACTACTGTATGTCATCACTACCATGATTTCTATGTACCCTAGATGAAGATGGTGATTAATTAGAATGTATGGGAAAGAGTGTAACCTGAGCATGACATAAATGGTATGGAATAAGGGGTGGATAGATGTCCTGGTTTTAGTTAGGACAGAGTTAATTTTCCTCCTAGTAGCTGGTAGAATGCTATGTTTTGGCTTAGGATGAGAAGAGTGCTGATAACACCCCGATGTTTTAATTGTTGCAGAGCAGTGCTTACACCAAGCCAAAGACGTCTCAGCTTCTTGCTCTGTCCTGCCAACAGGCAGGCTGGGGGGTGCCACAGGAGCTGGGAGGGGACAGACCCAGGACAGCTGACCCAAACTAGCCAAAGGGGGTATTCCATCCCATCTGACGTCATGCTAAACAATATATAGGGGTGGCTATAGGAGCAGGTGATCGCGGGGGTTGGACCCCAGGGGGTCCCAAGCCAGACCAACCCGCTCCTGACGAATAAACCCCACGGCACAGACCCACACCTGGAGCAGCTCCCAAAGAGCCTGTTTTTCGCTGCCTGTGGAGAAGCCCACACAGGACCAGCCCAGGAAGGTCGGCACCCCACGAGAGGGACTCCACAACAGAGCAGGGGGGAGAACGATTGTGAAAGAGCAGTGGAAACAAAGCACCACGGACTGATGGCAGCCCTCACTCCCAGCCCCCCCACACCACTCAGGGCAGGGAAGAGGTGGAAGAGAGTGGATGGGGGAAGGTGCCCCCAGCTTGTTTCTCTGTTTCTCACTGCTCCAGCCTGTCAGAAATAGGTAATAAATTTTATTAATCTTCCTATGCTAAGTCTGTTTTGCCCGTAACGATAATTGTAGAGTGATCCCCACTGAGGTACACTTGAGGAGCCCTTGAGGTACACTTCTTCATTTATAAGGTGAGAGAGGGAGTTAGGAGAATCTTATCAAGTAGAGATAGAGCGCTGACAGCATTAAACTAGGCTGCTACTTAGTGCTTTTGCATCGTCTATGGTGTCATTTCCATAAACTCCTCCCCTCTGCACTTGTGCGGTGCCTTCTGGTGGTGGGCGCTGAGGGTCGTGAGGATGAAGTAAGATGTCTTCATCAGGGTTGAACTTTTCACATCGTCTCCTTGTGCATGCTCTCTGAGCCCCTGGTCACAATCTGGGCCATAAGGTTGCTTTGGTCCGGTTCTCTGGGTCTGAGGGGCCCCTGTTATCTCGAGGCCTTGCATGTTTGACATCCTCTTTTAAGAACAGTCCTCCTTATCTCTGAGCCCTTCGTCACAGTCCAAACCATATGGTTGGTTCGATCTGGTTTTTGGGGTCCCAGGGGCTCCTGTTATCTGGAGGCCTAAGCACAGCACAAGCACATCACAAATGTAGCACATATTAAGCAATGAGTGTTGCCTACATATTCATTCTTAATCAATCGCTCTCTAATTTCTAATCCCACGTTTCATGATGGCCTCATCGTTAAGAGTCTGATGTTATCATCAACCATGGGGCCTGTCGACCCCCATGGCCACACTCTCACATCTCCCCCTTCTTTATTAACATCAACCATCTTCTTGACATGAATTATTACTTCATATATCACAGTCACAATCTGGGCCATAAGGTGTTTTGATCTGGTTCTCAGGGTCCGAGGGGCTCCTATTATCTGGAGGCCTAAGCGCAGCACAGGCACAGGACATCGCAAATGTAGCATATATTCATTCTTAATCAATCGCTCTCTAATTTCTAATCCCATGTTTCAGTAGGTTGATAGTTGGACTAGACGATCTTGGAGGGCTTTTCCAACCCTAATGACTCCATGATTCACTCAGGCTGCGGAGCGGGCCCCGTTCCCCCCACAGCCACCCGTTTGCCGCCATGGCAACGGCGGGGCGTGGCCGCCATTTTGTGTCCGCCCCATCGGGGCCTCCTTGTCCTTCAACGTCCCACTCGAGCGCCACTCCCTCCTTTTGGCGCGTCGCGGCGGTGTCATGGCGTTCACACTGTACTCGCTGCTGCAGGCCGGGCTGCTCGTCGTCAACGCTGTCGCCGTGCTGCACGAGGAGCGCTTCCTCCGCAACGGTGAGTCGCCGCTACCCTGCCCGCCCTCAGCGCCGCCAGCCCCGGGCCCGTCCTGTCCCCCTCCCCCCCCCCCCCCCCCCCCCCCCCCCCGCCACGGTCCCGGGCCCCGTCCCTGAAGATGGCGGCTGGGCTCCTGTCACTGCTTTGTGTCCCCTTTTTCTATTCCCTTCTTGTTGTTTCCTTCCCCTTCTCCCCTGTATGTTTCTGAGCTGTTTTGAGAGAGGGAGTTAGGAGAATCTTATCAAGTAGTGATAGAGCGCTGACCACATTAAATTAGGCTGCTACTTAGTGTCTTTGCTAATTATGGTGCATTGTGCAAATTTACTAAAGCAAGAAGCCTTGGGCCCCTTACCAAGGCCAGTCTCCTAATAAGAGTGTGAGCCTATCTTAAGAAACTGGCAGAAACTGGTCCTGCGGATGGACAAGAGCCAAGGAGCAACTGAGTGTGCAAAGACAAGATGTCAGCCATCAGTGATGAGGAAGAGTCAACCTTCATCCCCACGACCCCCGAGGGCCACCACCTGGAGACACTGCGCAAGCACAGATGGGAGGAGTTTATGGAATTGACTCCTTGGAACTAACTTTAATACGAAGCGGGGACAGGTTATGAATATGTACAGCCGTATTGTGAAACTTCATGCATATGTAACTCTTTACTGCATAGAACCAAGGCAAGTTGCCGCGTCAGGTGTGCACGACTTTGGCGGGACTACCCCCCGTGCTGCCCAGTGCTGAATAAACATGCCTACTTTACAGTCTTATTGACTGTGGAGTCTGTTTTCCTCAAGTCAGTTTGGTGAGCCAGCCAGGAGATGCTCTGCTCGGCTGTGGGATTGACTGCGGAGTGGACGCCCCTAGGTGCACCCCGAGTATTTTCCTCGGAGGAGCCTCCACTATCAGCCGCACACTGCGGAAGCAGACAAAGACCTCCTGAAGCCACGGGCAAATGGTATGTTTTACAGTAGAGGAAGGGCCTGTAAGTCGTATGCGTGGACAGGGCAGCTGGTAAATCATGCAGAGACATCTGGCGTGCAGCACAGTCCCCATATGGGAGGAGGGTACCCTACAGGCTGACCGGTAGAGCGGCCACTAGCGATCTTGGGAGTAGATTGAGCATATCTGAGGTTACTGCTGCATCCCAGTTTTGGGAGCCTGGACGGACCTGCTAACAACTATAAGAAGCAGGAGAAGGGTAAGCGGGCCTCTCACAATTGTGACAAGGTTATCTGGGTAATATTTGCAGCTGCTGGAGGGATATTAATTGGAGTGGTAATAATTGTATGTCTTATTTGTGGATGGCTGGGTATCTCATGTTGAAAGCATTTGTGTAAGTGTACGTGTTTGAGACCAAGTATTGTTGTGAAGTGAATTACTCCACGAGGAACACGGTCAGAGACGATACAAACCAGTTTGGTTATTGTTTAAGTGATATATTCTTGTGGTATGAACGAGAAGCGCAAGGGGCCTCTCTGTGTGATTGCATGATTGTGCTGTGTGAGTGAGATGCAGCATCGCTGCAAAGCGAATGCAGAGTTCCGATCCGCGGTTCCATATTCTCCGTGAGGGGATCGGCCGGAGACGAACAAAACGCATGACAGACCAAAAAGAAGTGCTGTTTTATCCAAGTGTTGACTGGTGGTGCCCGATATACGGGCCTGGCAGTGCATCTTGTAATCCTATTTTTGTTCTTAAATACATAAATGCATATATTTATTAAATAAATAAATAGGAGGGGGGCTGACTGATTATCAAAGCGGTAGAATGGAGAGTCACTTCTTTAGTGGTTCGGGCTTGAGCCCTGAGAATTTGGTAAGAAGGGGGAGAGCAAATTTATTTAGGCCTCAATACTTTTTTTAACCCCCATATTGACTGATACGCAGATGTGATTCCTTGTTTTGTGTGGGCTTACTAACAAAGTGCATGAGAAAAATTGTCATTCGGTTTGAAATTTGGTCCTGTTGAAATGAAAGTTTTGTGGAAAAGGTGGTATTGTTTGTCTAGAAGACAGAAGGCTGAGTGCTTCAGGTGTTTTCCTGAAGCCCTGTGGATTTATGATTGGAACAGGGCTCATTAACAATATGAAATAGTAAAGTTTGTATGCGGAAGGAAGAGTTTAATCCCAGAGAACTGGGACATTTGGGAAGAAGATTAGGAAAAGATAGTAAAAACCCGCAGTAAAAAGGTTTGCGTGGAAATTGAAACAGGGACAGTAACTAATATAAATAAATAAAAGGGAATGAATGGGAAATCAAGGAAATGGGTAATATCCAAAACAAAGACGTTTTAAAGAAAGCCTCCTTGGGTGCATATTGGCACGTTGGAAGGATATTGTTAGAACTGGGGGCACAGAAAGCAAGAGGACTTTCATTAAGTATTGCAATCAATGTTGGCCACTACATAAGCTAAACGGCCACTTTATGGACCAATCGACTATAACACTATCTTGCAAATAATGTTGGTTTTGAGGAGAGAAGGGAAATAGGATGAAATGTTGTCAGCATCTTGAATGGAAAAGGCGTGGAATTAAGTTGGCCCCTGACTGAGCCTTTGGTGTTGGCATGAGAAAAGCACAGGCTGGAGAAAGATAAAGGAAGGGTTAAAAGGGTTGTCGAAGGTGTTAAAGGTGTGGCATGTAGTATTTGACAGAGCTGTTTGAAGTTGAATGAGCAGGGAAAGAGCATGTAGGAATGTTAATAGTTCTGCCTCAACCCGAGGCCGAGATCTCAAAATCACAGGTGTGAGCCCTCTGGGGCAGAGGGACCATGATTGGTCCGAGAGAGTTGTCATGGAAACAGAAAAGCAGCTAACTCTTAAAACAACCTGATTTCATGTGTGAGCTCAGATTGCCAGTGGGACCGCTCAGGGAACTGTTAACGATTGCATTCCCCTGACTGACCCCCCACTGAGACCCTAATCACCCCGGAAATAATGAACGGTTATGTAAATACAAAAATCTGGTTAAATTGGGAATTGAGAATCTGTTCCAACAAGGTCCAAAAGAAACCCCTATGGAATTTTTGGACCAACTTCAAAATGCAATGGAAAACAAAACAAAACAAAAAGAATTTGGACCTGACTTCAGAATACAAACAGAGGCAATTGGCTAGCCTCTTTCTAGGGCAATTGGCCCCTGATATCAGAAAGAAATTGTCCTAGGCTGCAAGATAAATTTACAACAGTCAGGAATGATGGGGACCTGGGGCATCTACCCTAGCAGGTCCACTAGTTGAAGAAAAACTAGGAAACGAAGAGAGAGGCTGGAATTTTTTGTTGGTTAAGGGAGCTTCTTTCCCTGTGTTAAGTAGTCTGTAAATGTAAGAGGAACAACTGGCCAACAGGAAAAGGCGTGGTTTTTTTTTTTTGTTTGTTTGTTTGTTTTTGTGCAATGCTTGAAATTTAAATTGGGGAAAAATGATTGGAATTACAAAATGGGAAAAACAGACAAGTTTGGTTCACGGTACTAGATTTACAGGCTGCCTTTTTCTGCCTTCCTGTGGTAACTGAAAGCCAGAAACTCTTTGCCTTTGAATGGGAAAATCCTAATAGAGGATGGAAAACTCAGCTTACTTGGACGGTGTTACCACAGGGGTTCAAGAATAGCCCCACCATATTTGGCACTGTGATCTTGAAGCTTGAAAGACCCCTTTGGGAAAAGGGGACATTGTTGCAACACACAAATGATAGCCACTGAAGAAGAAAAGGAATGTGTATAATGGACTATTAATTTACTATATATTTTTTTTTTTCGGCACCAATACTGTGAACCCAGCAGCCTCTTTCCTTAGTAACAGAGTTTCCAGATTACCCATTCATGATTGCATCAAGACCACGGACATGGTATACTCCAGCTGACCAGACTTAAAGGATACACCCCTAGAAGATGCGGAGGATTGGTATATAGATGGCAGCAGCTTCATCCGCCAGGAATTTCGCCTCACAGGATATGCGGTAACAAACATCAGCCCAAAAGGTGGAAATCATCGCCTTGATAAGAGCTTTTGAGCTGGCAAACATTTGGACAGATTTGAAATATGCCTTTGGTGTGGTGCATGCACACGGGGCAATTTGGAAGGAGAGAGGACTTTTATCTTCCTCAATTAAACATGCAGAAGAGATATTGCAGTATACCTGCCTACATCAAGGAGGGGATACTGATATTGAAAGGGAAAATAGAATGGCTGATGCAGGAGCCAAAGGGGTAGCAGAACGGGCATCTGAGAGTCAAATTTTGGCATTAGTATCAGGAACAGAAAACCAGGCATTAACAAAAGCTTTCGAAAATGAGTAGAATACTCTAAGATGTAAACGGAAAATCTTACGTACAGGTTTAACATAAATAACTGTCCTGGTTTCAGTTAGGACAGAGTTAATTTTCTGATGGGAGAATTGTGATACCATATTAAATTGAATGGTAATTGGAGAACATAATAAAGCATGCTGGGGAGCTGAAGTAGTGTAAGAGTTTTTAAATAGCAAATGGATAGGGCCTAATTTGTATACCATTGTTAGACAGGTATAAAAGTAATCAAGCTCCAAACAGCGGTAAATTATTTTTTTTTTTTGAACTCCCAAGAAAAGGGGGTGTCAGTATTTGTCGGTATTAACTGACACCTTTTCAGGATGGCCAGAAGCATTCCTGACCAGAGCAGCCAAGGCTCTGGAGGTAATTACAAGCAATAAAACCTCATTTTGCAGTTTCAGCAACTATATCCTCTGACAGGGGCAAAAGTGGTACAACAAATTAGCTGCCATTTGGGTATAGACTGGCAACTTCATACCACAATTGCCCTCAGTCGAGTGGCCAAGTAGAAAAATGAACCACTTAATCAAACAGAAAATTGTGAAATTGGGACAAGAATCAAGTTTGGTCTGGCCTCAGTCTATTCCTTTAGCCCTTTTGCATATACCAAGGGCAAAGGAAGGGCTAAGCTCCTTTGAAATCTTATATGGACGACCCTATGGAATACAAAGAGGAATATCCATGCAAGCTGGGGATGAACCCATGACCTCCTATATGGTGGTCTTAGGTAAACAGCTTAATGAAATTGGAAAGCATGTGAGTGGGACTCCGGGTAGAGGGTTAGATGGACCACTGCACAATAGACAAGCTGGAGGTTATGTGCATGTAAAGTGTCTTGCAGAGAAGACCTTGGAACCTCAGTGGGAAGGACCGTTCCAGGTCACAGAGATCAGAATCAAGGAGCAGAATGCCTGGATCCATCACACCAGAGTGAAAAAGGCACCCAAGACCCCATGGAACATTACTCAGGTGTGACCTGGAAGGTTACATTTCTCACAGTCTTAATGGTATCATTGGTCAAGGAAACTGAACAGTGGGTGCACAATACCTATGTGAAACTCACCCAGGCAGTGAGTGATAGTTTCAACCTTTCTGACTGTTGGGTGTGCACACTGCTGCCTAGAGGCAACCTAGAATTCCCCATGTGGGGCATACCCAGTATGAATTGGACATTGACCTTTGCGCACGCAAGAAATGGAACATGTCCATTTGGCAAGGATGATTGCGAACATCTAGGGGAGAGATCTGAGCTACTCCCATGTGAAAATGTTAACATGTAACTTTTAATCTTACTAAAACTTGAGATTATGGTGTAGGTGTCACAATATGTGCTGATAAAAAGGATACGAACTCAGGATCTCATAGCCTCAATTCTCTCGCACAAATTTGCAAGCTACAAAAAGGATTCTATTGGCTATGTAGAGATGGGCGTGCTAGAAAAGCTTACCCTTAAATTGGAAGGGTCATTGTATCGGGGGCTGTCTTAGCCCTTGTGTTGGGTCTGTCTGAGCTGGAGTCACCTTTTCCCTGCAGCAGCCCACACAGTGCTGTGCTCTGCACTCATAGCTGGAACAGCACTGATATCACTCCAGTGTTGTGTCTATTGCTGCGTAGTGCTGGCACAGCATCAGGACTCCTTCCAAGCCCCCAAGAACCAGCAGGCTGGGGGTGGGCAAGTGATGGGGAGGGGACATCGCCAGGGCAGCTGACCTAAACCAACCAAAGGGATACTCCATAACACCTGATGTCACACTCAGCAATAAAAAGGGGGGGGCTCTCATGGGGGAGGGGGCTGTTCCTCCTGAACAACCACTACGCGTTTTGAGGCCCTGCTTCCCAGGACGTGGCCGAATATCGCTCGTTGATGGGAAGTAGAGAATAATTTTTTTCCCCCTCTCTCTGTGCTTCCGCGCGGACTTATTGTTTCTCTTGTTTCTTTTTTCTCCCCATTCCCTTTCCCTTTAATTAAACCTTTCTCATCTCAAACCTTGAGTTCTCTGTGTTGTATTTTCTCCCCCTTCCTCTTTGAGGAGAGGGGGAGTGAGAGAGCGGTTGTGGTGGAGCTCGGCTGCCCACCTGAGTAAAACCACCACAGTCTTTTTGTCGCCCAACGTGGGGCTCGAGGGTTGAGAAAACAATAGCATTGGTTGAAGTATTTACAACTAACATACTGGTAGTCACAATGTTTGATTTTCTGTTAATATTTTTCTGTGTGACTATGTTGTATGTAGTCCATTCCTGTTCTCTTTTTTCCTTTACATCCGATCGGAGAAAGTGTTGAAGTCTGTGCTTGGTTTCTTTATCATGTTGTGCTGTAACATGCTGGCCTTCAGTTTTGTCTGGTACTCAGGCCCTGCATTGTTATCTTCCTGGTCTCCTGGAGATTATCTTTTTGGAAATATTAAGAATTCCAGCGCCTTCTTTTTTGCCCCTAGCAGTCAATCAGTGAATAATATCGGGGGTGGTGCCTTCTTCTTTTCTCCCTGTGGGCTAATTACAGCAGCCTTTGAGTATTTTGGATACCCTTGGTCGGATATTATCCTCCTATTACTAGTTCTAGTGTTTGTCTTCTTCCCCAAGGTAAAGCAATTTATTAAGAATATTATCCAAGGACCTGTCCCCAGACAAAGTAGTTGTGGGGGGCAAGGTGTGTGTGGGGATTTGGGCAGGTACCTGTCACAGTTTTCTCCTCCGATGGTTCGTAACTTCACCCCTGAACAAGTGCAAAATCCAAGAAAACTGGTAGAATGTTTGAAAGACGTATGCCCTGACCCTGGCAATACTAGAGAACTCCACCAGCTTGCTGCACTCTGCTGGGGTCTGGCTTATGCCTATCAAATGTCAATTAACATTGCCCAGCACCCTCAAGGGGATAGGGAAGTTCCTGAATTTGATGATGAGACAGCACACACTGTGACCACCCCAGAGGACCGACCATCTATGGTATCAGTCGCCCCTATAGTAAAGACAAAACAGTGGAAACGGAGATCAGGTCGTTTAGTAAGGGAAGAAGCTCCTCCTAAGGATGAGGGAGAAGAGGAAAAGGCAGGCAGCTCCAAAGCAGCAGCATCACGGCAACATCAGGGAGAAGAGACTGAAATCATAGATGAATCAGAAACTACTCGGTCTCTATCCTTGAGTGAGCTGCGAGAAATACGAAAGGATTTCAGTCGTCATCCAGGTGAGCACATCCTCACCTGGCTGCTTCGATGCTGGGACACTGGGGCCAATAGCCAACAGCTAGAAGGCAATGAAGCCAAGCAGCTGGGATCCCTCTCTAGAGAAAGGCTCATTGATAGAGTAATTGGGAGAGAGGCACAAGTTCTCAGCCTCTGGAGGCGAATCCTAAAAGCTGTGAAAGAAAGGTATCCCCACAAGGAAGATATTGTATACCAAGTAGGCAAATGGACCACTATGGATAAGGGCCTCCAGCAGCTGTGGGAATTAGCTGTGCTGGAGATGCTTTATAGTGATTTAAACAATGCCCAGACACCTAAAGACCCTGATGAAGTCCAATGCACAACATCCATGTGGCGGAAGTTTGTACGGGCTGCACCCTCATCACCTGCCAGCACACTGGCAGCAATGGATTGGGAGGAGGGGATGTGGATAACGTGTCCAACCAACACTGTATCGAACCTAGAAATAGTGAAAGAATTTACTAACTTTTTAGAAAAGGGGGGACTGAGAGAGGGAGTGAGGAGAATCTTATCAAGTAGAGATAGAGCACTGACGGCATTAAACTAGGCTGCTACTTAGTGCCTTTGCATTGTCTATGGTGCATTGTGCAAATTTACTAAAGCAAGAAGCCTTGGGCCCCTTACCAAGGCCAGTCTCCTAATAAGAGTGTGAGCCTATCTTAAGAAACTGGCAGAAACTGGTCCTGCGGATGGACAAGAGCCAAGGAGCAACTGAGTGCGCAAAGACAAGATGTCAGCCATCAGTGATGAGGAAGAGTCAACCTTCATCCCCACGACCCCCGAGGGCCACCACCAGGAGACACTGCGCAAGCGCAGATGGGAGGAGTTTATGGAATTGACTCCTTGGAACTAACTTTAATACAAAGCGGGGACAGGTTATGAATATGTACAGCCGTATTGTGAAACTTCATGCATATGTAATGCTTTACTGCATAGAAGCGGGAATTTGGGCAGGAGTGACATTTCTTGGCCCTTCTGCCTGCCCCCTGGTGGGACTCAGCTGGGGCTTTGGTTTTACTTGTCCTTTCCTGGAGCTCCAGGAACCCCAAGACGTGTGGGATGATGGAGGGGTCAAGCCCCTCACCAAGCCTGCGTGAGTCTTGGGAATAACCGCAGGCTTATCCAGGTGGGAGCACAGCACCCAGCCTGGTGCTAGCAGAGCAAGAGAGACAAGGAAGGAAAAAGGGGTGAAAGAGAAGGAAATCGCTCCCAAGCTGTCTCTGGAGGAAAGAAACTCCCAGGTTGCACCGTGCAGCTCTGCACAGGGTCAGTCCCTCCTGTGTCTGCCCTGTTCATCCCCAAATGTGTAAGGGTTGTGAGCAGCGGGACCAAAACTACGCAGTCCTATTGCTGGGGGACGGTGCTGTGCTCTGTCTCCTTGTAGCTCATCTCCCCACTGCCTTGGCAGGGAAGGCTTCTCATGCCCTCCTGTTTTTGTGTTTTCCTGGGGTTTTGTGTTTTCCACTCCTGTTGGTGTGGTGGCATTTCATACCGAAGTATGAAACCTGCCTCACTGCTTGCTTTATGTTTGTCTGTGCTCAGAGAATTAAAAATGTCCCTGCAGGCAGTCTGCATGATTTAGAGAAAGCCATTTTAAACCTTCTGATGTTTTCTTAGTGACTCCTTGTGCATCCTGGCACTGTTTGCCTTTAAACATCACTACACACTGAGCAAAGCCAATTCAGGCTGTTTCCAGTGGCACGCAGCTCTGTTGTTCTTTGACAGGCAGGCCAGCCACAGATAGCCCATCTCTAAATGTTCATTCCCATCGCAGTGTTTGTCAACACTGGCTCAGTTGCTGAGCTGCCACCCAAAAAGTTTGAGTCATTTCTGTAGCACTTCAGAAAATCATTGTCCCAGTTTGGAATTTGTTCTGTTTCCATCACGTAGCTCGTTTCTGAAGTGTTGCTTCATACCCAGCAATTACTTGTTCGTTTATCTTCTGGTAAAGGCCTGTGAGCAGATGTAGGCAATCTTTTTTATATTATTTTGGCGGATGCTTTTCTAAAGTCCAAATAAACTCACTTGGTTCTCTGTCATGCAGAGAATAGTAGTATATTAAAAAGGTAAGGGTTTCCTTTGCAGAAACATTGATCTCTTGTTACCGTTGCGTTCATTAAGATGTTTAACAGTTTGTGGTATATCGTTTCAAGCAATAGAATCTGAAATGAAGCTAATTGGTTTGTAGTTTGCTTTTCTAATGTTAGTGATAAACTCAACCATACTCAAGGTAGATCACTCGTTAATATCGCTGATAGCGTTTGTTGAATGGCTTCGTTTTTTTGTTGTTGTTAACATGGCTGCCTATTTTCATGTGGCACAGTTGGCTGGGCAAGTGATCAAGGGATTGGAGGATTTGGAGACGCACCAGGAATTAAAGCACAGCTAATGAACCTCATTCAGTCTGTACGAACCATTATGAGAGGTAAGATGATGATGATCGTTTGTTTAAACTCTCATCTGTGAAGTTTTGTTTCTGTGCTTTAATGACATAATGCCGGCATGTGTCTCTTTCTTTTACCAAACAGCTGCTCTCTCTGCTTGTCATCCAGTCTGTCCTTCTTTTTTCTCCACTTCCAGAAAAAATCCCAGTTTCCTTCTTTTTCTAATACTGGTGTGGTACGAGTTCACAGTCCAAAGCTATGGTGGTGGAAGGGAAGTGGGGCACATCCGTCCATCACACACCAGCATACACCCCTGAGCCCTTTGTGCACTTTTCTCTCCAGAAGAAAGCTGCTGACGAGACAAGCTGGGGGCTGTCACTGCTCTGGTGGTGAATCCAGGGGTGTTATCAAGACAGAGAAGGAGAAGAACAGTAACACAAAAATGGAAATTGTCTCTTCAGAGTTGGCGAACTCTGTGGATACAGTGTGCTTGTCAGAAATGTAACTTACACACACCGGGCCAGTCAAATCCACTGTTGAAATCTTATCAGAGCTTTTGTTCATCACTGCAGTATTTTCCAGGACCACTGCATGTGTACCAAGGTCTTTGGAGGAGTAATGTGAGGTGCAGTGCCTGGTGCAACAGAAATGGGATGAAACAAATCATTAGGTATTAGATTAAGCATGAAGAGCTGAAGGGATGAAAGACACGGACTCCTGATGGCTCTTGAACAGAAGACCTTTATTGCCATTTTCCTCCACTACATATACTTTCCCCATAGCCCCATGCGCTGCCCACACGCCCGAATCTGTCATACAATTGGTTAGAGACCCTCAGACATGCGCCTCAAGCCAGTCAGCAATTGGCCACTGCCCAAAGCTCATCTTTAACACTGTAGCCAAGTTAATTTATCTCGACCTTGCTCATGTTTTTGTTTCTACCACTTATTTCCTCATTATCTCTAATTCAGGGACGTGTGAAACAGCGCAAAGCCATCTGTGAATTCCTTTCCCCGCAAAGAGCTATTTGTATTTGAAGCCAATCCAATTAATAACAGGATATAGCTAACAGCAGTACAGAACTGATAGCTGGGGTGCTGGTGATAGAGCTGATTTAATTAATTATGGAGGTGTCCTTTTACACTGCCTCTTATCTTTTTGCCCTTTAACATTAAAAGGGTCTTATCCTCTTCTCCATTTGGCTAGTTGCATTCAAACTAAAGCTGAACAAAATTTTTATTTGAAGGGATTTCTCAAAATATATTACCTATTTCCTCATTATAGAAATACACATCTCAAGGAATGTCTCTTATCTTGTGATTTCTGGTTGTTCTTCCAAAAATGAAAACTTTGTCAGTAGTGAGAAATTAGGGGCTTGGGTCTCTTAATATTCCTTAATAAATTTTCAATATACATATACATATATAAAATCTGGGGAGAGGTCAAAGAATTTGGTTCAGATATAAAACAAAACCAAATGTCATTTCCCTAAAATGGTGTTACCCAAACAAGTGCCCTAGCGGTTCTCCAGCCACCGTTAATGCACCCCACTGTAAGGCTGATGGAGAAAGAATTTGTGTAACCGAGGACCCCAAGACGCAATGGGTTTTGGCAGGCTCTTTCCATGAGCTCCCCTGATTATACTTGGCTCCTGCAGGAATTCCTCACTGCACACATTTCCTTGGTGACCCTGGGTCCTCCCCTGCTGCCACTCACCTCAGGAGAACTTTCACTGCTATGCTGATCACAACCAACAGTAACAGACTGCCACTGAGAGACACTATGATAATGTTATCAGTAATCAGTGATGAACCTTGAAAAGCAGATGGAAACCACAGGTGAGTTTTGCCAACAAGCAGCTTTAGGAAATGCAACCTTTTGCAAAAGGACCCCAGGTTGTCACAGGTTGCACACAGGTCCTTCTGCTGCAAACCATGGACTGAGAGGGGTGACTGACCAGCTGTGAGTTAGGAGGGCATTCCCGTCAACTAGTTTTTCTTCAAAAATCTTGCAGCTCAGTTAATTAACTCATGGGTGTTTATCTACCAAAGGACAATCCCAAACTGCTTCACAGAGCTGATGCTGAAACCCAGCCCTATGGATCTAAGGATGGAATAGTGTAGCCCCACACTGCTAGACCACAGAACTGTCATTTCAGATATTATTCACTTTTTTGCAGTAAAGTCATTGCAGGATCCCATATCTTACTGCTTCTCTCGCCAGCACTCTCCATCCACTTCCACCCTTTTCAATTTCAGTTTCCATCCTTTTTGGCTCTTGGGTTTATTTCAAAACTTAATGGACTGAAATCTGGCTTAGATTTCCCCTTCTACATCCATTTTCGAGTTCCCCACTCCTGTCTTCTGCCACAACAGCTCCTTTCATTTCCATCATTCTGCCCTCTCTAAAATCCCAACAGCAACAGATCTATGGCTAATTCCTTCCTTCCTTTTGAGCTCATTCACAAAGCTGTATCTGTTAAATCTTGTACATTTGCTAACATTTGATAACATTGCTATTACCTAGAGCCTCTCACTGCTGTTGTCACACAAATAAACACTGCAAAACTGATTTTAAATGCTAATGAAAAAAAAAAGGAAAGTAAAGCACCTTCTTCCTTGGAAACTAAGGTGGTGTGAAAGCCTTCTTCAGTATCATGGAACATACTGAAAAGGAAAGCCAAAAGACATTCAGATCACAGTTCAAAATAATGTTTATTTTAGATCCGTTTATGACCTCTGAATATTTCACCATCTCTAATGTGAATGATCTTTACAACTTCCTAGTGATATTGAAACTTTATGCTATTAGACATTTTGCAGATTTGGAATCAAAGCATAGAGGGGACAAGTCCTAGAGACAGAATTTAATCTGACATCAAAAAAATGAATGTTTCTCTTAAGGTAATAAACCTCCCCAGCTGCCTTGAGTTTGACTGCATGTTTCCCTACATCATCTAATCTTGGCATGGCCAAAGGCCAGGCATCACACTCTAGCCCAACCCTAGCTGCGACATTGTTTGTCTATACCCCTCAAATGGATGCAGTCAGGTAGGCTCCTAATAAAGCACACTGACAGCTCCAACACTTCTAAAATGCTGGTGGACCAATGTGCAGAACTTCTTCCCCCTCCACCCAGTGAGTACGGGCTTGGCACACCTGGCCAGGATGTGAGAAGCTCGGGCTGAGGCCACACAAACATCTCCACCTGCGACAAAGTCAGATGGGAAGCTTTGCCCTTCTCTTCTGTGCTGCCCCTACAATTTGCTAGTGAGCCTTCAGTGCTGCTAGTGGGGTGATTTATGGGGTCAGGGCTGGAAACAAGACTGCATGAAGCAGACAGACCCCAAACATGCAAAAGCCATAGAATACAATACACAAACAGTGCTGCAAACAGACATCACAACTTCAGCTCACTTTTACCTAATCCCAGCCAATTTGCCCCAGGATACAGAGGGAGACTTTAGGAGAAGAGGTAACTGAGTCCAGGTTTCTCAAGCTCAGGTTTATACATTTTCTTTTACTGTCTCTAGAGGTTTTACTGCCTAACTCCTCTAAAAAAGCTTCAGCCATCACATAGGAAAGTAAGAAGGAATGAACAGCAACTAGACAGAAAGATAATGGGGGCTCAACACGCAATTTCTTGCTCTCTGTCAAACAATAACATTATTTTACCACAGCCACATTGCCTATTACCGACCCCTCGCCAAAACACTGAATTTCTCAGAATGGTGAGTGAAGTTCTCTTCACAGCAAGTCTGGGAGGCAGGGATGTGTTATTAACCCTACTGTCGAGGTGGAAAAACTGAGCCTAACAATTGGTCTTGTATCCGTCAGAGATACCTTTCTCAAGTCGGATTCAGGTGTCACCTTGTATTCATATTGCCACACTAACACATAGACACAGACATGCTGTTGTGGTTTAACCCGGCCGGTTAAACACCAGCTAAACACCACACGGCCGTTCGCTCACCCTCCCCCCTCCCTATCTGGGATGGGGGAGAGAAATAGGAAAGTGAAGCCTGTGAGTTGAGATAAAAACAGTTTATTAAGACAGGAAAATAATAATAACAATAATAATGATAATAGCACTACTACTAATAATGTGTACAAAACAAGTGATGCACAGTGCAATTGCTCACCACCTGCTGACCGATGTCCAGCCTAACCCCGAGCAGTCCGGCCACCTCCCCCGGCTAGCCACCCCTATATATTGTTTAGCATGACATCAGATGGGATGGAATACCCCTTTGGCTAGTTTGGGTCACCTGTCCTGGGTCTGTCCCCTCCCAGCTCTTGCTGCACCCCCAACCTGCCCGTTGGCAGGACAGAGTGAGAAGCTGAAGCATCCTTGGCTTGGTATAAGCACTGCTCTGCAACAATTAAAACATCAGGGTGTTGTTATCAGCACTCTTCTCATCCTAACCCAAAACATAGCATTCTACCAGGTACTAGGAGGAAAATTAACTCTGTCCTAACTGAAACCAGGACACATGTGCACGCTATTTCCACTTGCATGTGTGATGCACAGACTTCCGTTCATTATTTCATTCTATTCTAGCCCCTTTTCTGAATAGAAATGGGGAACCACAGGCTGTTTGTATCCTGATGACATCCAGTTAATAAATACATTAATAAATTGTCTGCCACTATGTTCTTAGGTATCAAAAGAACTTGTATCTAAAGTCTTATATGTTGCACTTTCAATTCTACTCTCTTTAATAATTACTCTCAATAAACTTGCATTAAAATATAATTGTTGTGAAAAATCTGTGTAGCCACAGGTTGCGTAAGATAATGTAGATGCCTGAATAAAATACAACCCCATAGGAAAAAATATCCAAGCCAAAGCCATGTTCACATTTATACGAGGAACGATATCACCTCTGAAATGATGCTTAGACTGAATTACTGCATATGACAAGCATCAGCATATGACAGGCAGCAACTCCTTTTGTAAAGCTTGGACAACAAAACCAAGCAGCGTAATTTTGCAGCTAAACAGACTGTCCAGGCTTTGCCTCTTCTCAGTTCATGTATGTGTGCATGTCTGTGAACAAGATGAAATGTCGTCTGAGGAGCTGTTTCAGGATGTCAGGTGAAATTTCCCCGTGTGGTGGTTTTACTTGGGTGGGCGGCCGAGCTCCACCACAGCCGCTCTCTCACTCCCCCTCCTCAAAGAGGAATGGGGAGAAAATACGATGAAAAGGACTCAAGGGTTGAGATAAGGACAGGGAGATCACATAGTAATTATCGTGATGGGCAAAACAGACTCGGCATAGGGAGATAGTAAGATTTATTGCCTATTACTAACAAGCTAGAGAAGTGAGAAACAAATGAAAGAAAACAAAAGCACCTTCCCCCCATCCGCCCTCTTCCACCTCCTCCCCCTGAGAGGCACAGGGGAACAGGGGTTATGGTCAGTCTATAGCGCTTCTTCTCCTCCGCTCTTTCTCAGTCACTCTCATCCCCTGTGCTGTGGGGTCCCTCCCACGGGATGCAGTCCTTTCCAAACAGATCCAGCGTGGGCTTCCCACAGGCAGCAGCTCTTCAAGAACTTCTCCAGATATGGGTCCATACCACGGGGTCCATCCCTCGGGAGCAAACTGCTCCAACCTGGGTCCCCCACAGGCAGCAGCTCCTGCCAGGTCACCTGCTCCTGCGTGGTCTCCTCTCCATGGGCTACAGGTCCGGCCCAGAATCTGCTCCAGCAGGGGTCCTCCACAGGCCGCAGCCTCCGTCAGTGCAGGTCCACCTGCTCCACCGTGGTCCTCACCACAGGCCGCAGGGGACTTCTGCTCCGGCGCCTGGAGCACCTCTCCCCCTCCTTCTTCACTGACCTTGGTGCCTGCAAGGCTGTTCCTCACTCCTCTCACTCTCCCAGCTGCTGTGTGGCGCAGCGTTTTTTTCCCTTCTACATCCATTTTTGAGTTCCCCACTCCTGTCTTCTGCCACAACAGCTCCTTTCATTTCCATCGTTCTGCCCTCTCTAAAATCCCAACAGCAACAGATCTATGGCTCATTCCTTCCTGTCTGCTTATCATCCAGTCTGTCCTTCTTTTGGGTTCATGCATGGATTCTATAGGAAGGTACATGTTGCAGCGTGCAGTGCTTATGCTCTAAGTTTGTTGAAGCGTAAAATGTTCCCTGCTTTTCAGGCAGGGCCAATTTGGACATCTGCGTCTGTAAGGTGCCACTGTGGCATCTTACCTTTTCCTGGGGTCTGGGAGGAAGCTTGGTATGGAACAGGTTCACATTGGCTCAGTGCAGTTTTATGTGAAGTACCAGGTGAGGGAAATGTAATTCTTGGGATTCTTAAAGGTAAGCCCATGCTTAGATGGATGGGGGGGGGGGGGAACGTTCTTAACTTAGAAGTTACCAATAGTTTTTCACTATAAAGCATATCAAAATTCATTTTATAAGTGCAAGTATGTATTTTATAAACAGCAAGTAACAAATCTTACTTTGTGGTGGGCAAGACAAGTAAAAACTGGTACATTTTTTCTAAACTGTAGTAAAAACAGGGACAGAAACAGACATTTGGAGAAAGGGATGTTTGAGCCAAAGTTAAGAGGCAATAAATATTTGTACTGTTTTACCAGTACATTTTACTATATTTACCAGCACTGAGATTTATTAGTGAATGCTTGCCTAGTAGTTTGGAGATGAAAGATATCATACTGGGGGATGTATCAAGTATAATCTTACTATAGTTAGAAAAAAAAAAATGGCTCTGTTATCCAGCTCTTCCTGAGCTGGATAACAGAGCCCTCTCAAAAATGTTCTGTATAATCCAAGCCAGTTAACATTGTGTCAAAATAAATTTGCTCATCTGAGCATAAACTGCAGTGATAAACCCCTTATAAGAAATAGAAGTTACAAAAGATAATTAGAAAATTATGAGATTTCCTCCTAAAAGAGCACTCCCTACAGTTTTACTTTAGTAGAGTCATTCTGCTTTGAAAGCCAGTGGGGCAGAAGCAGCTGTCTAAGACAGTCTATTAGAGCAAGTGCTGGTCTTTGTTTTTGTTGATTCCTTGTTGATAAAGCTTAAAACATCCAGATTTGCTATTTTTTGTACACTACAACATTTATCCAAAACTTTTGGCACAACTACCTTGAAGTTTTACATTAAAAATATGGTAAATTAAGAATACATTTTGAGGAAATTGTAACTTTAATCCCTCACAGAAGACAAAAGACACAGGAACAGTTGGGAGTTGATTGGCAGTGAAAAATTATGAAGAGATTTTATTTATTACCACCTGCAAAAAAAATACAGTGGTAGTATCTCATTCTTCCCTGGGCTTTTCTAATATTTGATGCTCAGAATTCTAGGACATCTGGCTTGATTTTGAACAGATGCCTCACCAGTCATTAAGAAATCAAAAATACCCAGCAATAAATTTCTTACGAGATTATAAACTAAAAGAGACTTGATGGCAGGCCAGCACTGTAACCCTAGATGCTGTCTAACTTTCAGGATAAGAAAAAAAACAAACAGAAAACACAAGCCTGATAGTTCATTAGCTGCGCCTTAGCCTGTTTGCCAGACCCAGTTCAGACAAAACTTCCACCTCTCTCTCAACTGTAACAC